CTGACTGTAATTTTGTTGCAAAAAGAAATTTTGGCCTTTTCAAGGAAATGTGATTGTTGCCTAGGAAATAAACATTACAACGAAATAGCAAGGAAATTTTGTTGTCAAGAAGGAAATAAGAAGGAATTTGTCTTATTTCTAATAAATCCTAAGAATACAGCAATTTCCAAGAAAATCCACATCAGAAATTGCCAAAAATACTGTCCTGCAGGAATGGAAAATCTGAAAATTTTCTGGAGGAGTGCCCTCAAATCCTATCAATTTTACTTTTTACAGTTGATTTCACATAACTTTTCTCTGAATGTTGCGAACTTTGTTCCGAACTTCGTTATGAAGTTCAAAAGTTCATACTGAAATCCACAAGCCAGCTTGTAAACAAAGCCTCTGATTGGCTTATTTTTGTACAGGGATCAATCAGAGGTTTTGTTTACAAACCGGCTTGTGAATTTCAGTATGAACTTTTGAACTTCACAACGAAGTTCCAAATGAAGTTCGCAACATTCAGGGAAACGTTATATGAAATCAACTGTAATAGTAAATTTAGGTAAACTCCCATTTTGACGAGTGGCATAAGAAGCAATTTGATATTGGTGGGGGGAGGTTGGAGGAGGAGACATCTTTCTAAATAATGCATGAGTCAATTCCATGAGTAAGCATCCTCCTCCCTGGAACATTGCCGGGCATTTGCTAGGCACACCATTCCTGGGGCCGTGAATTTGCACACAGGTTAGGGACCGGCCATTGTTTGGCGGCTAAAAGACCCCAAACATTTGACACTAGCGAAAAAACTCAATTATCAAAAATCTTCTGGTATTAAACTTTAGTTCAGTAACAGTGTATTGTTACTTTTTGCCATCTAATGATTGTCCGGGGGGGGGCATACATTTCCCTCCTGGTGTCTCCCAGCAGCCAGGGATTTGTCCTTTTCCTCCCAAAAAATTGCTAATGTCCAGGTATATTACAGGGGGGGGGGGCATGGTTACTCATGGAATTGACTCATGGATAAGAGCTGTTTATCCTTAATCTGTAGTGTAAGCTTACCTGGTATTTCTCGAGGTAGTTGCCGTTGTTGCCGTATTATTTGCAGGACATAAGTAAAGATGTTCCCTCAACTTATTCATGGGGAATATATTCATACAATGATTACAGATTTCTTCTATGATTTCTCCTTGATCTTTGGCTTTAACCAAAGCTTTTAAGTCAAGATCGCACTGTATTGGGCGAATATATACTCGTCCTTGTCCGACAAACTGTTTGAGAAACTCAATGGTATACCCATTTTCTCCCTCATCTATAACGGAAAGCTGACGAGAGCTGGCTTTTGCGTACATAAATTCATATCCACCACCATTGGTCAACTTTGGGTATGTTTCTTTTAGTGCAGCCACAACATCAGACGAAGTTGAGTCTGCTTGTAGGGTTACCTTCTTTTCGCCAAGTCCAGCGACGAGCAACTGTTGCTTTTCATCATTATTCGGAACATCTCGCTGGGTGGTGCTCGCAAGACAGAAAAACTTTATTGATATTTCTTTCACTGATTTTCGTCTTTTCAGTGCTTTTGCATGATGATTTGTAGATGCTCTTCGTTGGGGTATATTGCCATTCAATGGAACGGAACGAGAGGTGGACGCATTTGCTTGATTATACGTTGCAAACAGCAAACATCCCTCGCTCTCGCCGGCCTGTTGTTTGTCTCCGCCTGATTGGTGACTGCTGAATATTCTGTACTTCTACTTGTTGAAGGCTGTGAGCTTTGATTTATAAGGCTAGATGCCGCTTGTGACAATAGACGTGCAGCTTCGGCCAGAGCTGGTTCTTTGGCCATTTAAATAAACGTTTTTTGAATAAAAATTAGTATAATAAAATTCATGCGAAGCTGTGAATACTGAACACATGTCAACATATATTTATGCTGAAAAGTGAATTTTCAATGACTTCCGGTCCACATGACCGCGCTAGTCACAGACCTCTGGCTAATGAAAAATTGGTGCTGAATAATAAAAATAAGCTGAATAATAAAAATAAGCTGAATAATAAAAATAAGCTGAATTATAAAAATAAGCTGAATAATAAAAAATAAGCTGAATAATAAAAATAAGTTGAATAATAGAAATAAGCTGAATAATAAAAATAAGCTGAATAATAAAAATAAGCTGAATAATAAAAATAAGCTGAATAATAAAAATGAGCTGAATATTAAAAATAAGCTGAATAATAAAAATAAGCTGAATAATAATAAAAATATGCTGAATAATAATAAAAAATATGCTGAATAATACAAAATCAGCTGAATAATAATAAAAATAAGCTGAATAATAACAAAAATAAGCTGAATAATAATAAAAATGAGCTGAATAATAATAAACTGAATAATAATGCGAAATATAATATGGTATTTATATAATTTTGGCGGATATGGCACC